AATAATAATAATAATAATAATAATAATAATAATAATAATAATAATAATAATAATAATAATATAATATAATAATAATAATAATAATAGTAATAATAATAATAATAATAGTAATAATAATAATAATGAGAATAATAATAATAATAATAATGATAATAATAATAATGACAATAACATTGTTAATATTCAAAATAATGAAAACAATAACAGCAATGATAATGATACTGATAATAATAATATTGATAGCAAAATACAAATAAAAATAAAAATCGAGGAGAGAGAAAATCAGGTCAAATAAAGTTGACCTACTAATTGACTCCTTGTGGAATGGGCGACTGTGGTGCCATCTATTGGCTGATCAAGTTAAGAATAGAAAAACGGTGAATGATGCAGCATAATATGATAATGGTAGTAATAGCAGTAGTGATAGGGATAATAGCAGTAATGACGATGAGAATGATGATAGTAACAATAATGATAATGGTAATGATAATGATAATGATAATAGTAATAATGATAATGATAATGATAATGATAATGATAATAGTAATAATGATAATGATAATGATGATTACGATGGTAATAATAATGATTATGATAATAACAATGATAACAATGATAATGATAATAACAGTGATATCAATAATAATGATAACGATAATGATGATAATGATAATAATAAAAATAATGATAAGATATTAACAACAACAATAACAATAATAATGATAACAATCAAGATGATTGTGATGGTAGTAATGATGATGATTATCATAATTATAACAATAATGTTGATGACAATATGATAATAATAGTAATATATAAAATAATAACAATAACAACAGCAAAAATGATAATGGTAGTTATAAAGATGATGATAGCAGAAATAATGATGATTTTCATAATAGGAATAATAATGATGATGGTAATGATGAAACAATAATGATAGAAATAATATTGATATTGATAATAATAATGATGATAATAGTAACGATAATAATGATAATAATGATAATAACTAGAATCCCTCGGAAAGCGCATACCTCCGCCATGGCAATAGGGATCACTGATACAATAAAAAATATTCACATTTAAAGAATTACATTAATATCGCCTCTTTCTCAAGTACATACCCGTGTTTCCCTATTTCGCAATGCTAATGAATTCTTAAAAAAATAATAATAAAAAAAAATATTGATTATTTATCATTATTGTCATTATCATTATCATTAATTATTAATTATCATTATTGTCATTATCATTATTGTCATTATCATTATCATTAATTATTAATTATCGTAAATTAATTTGCCAATTAATTCTTAGAAAAAAAATCCTGGATCCAGATCACCACCAAAATTTAATGGCATCTAATTTGGGCTAATTAGATGCCATTAATAAAAATCTGTTAATGACTTTTTGGAGTTATCCTGATAACCAAGTTACCAACAAACTAACCAACGCTAAGGTAAATGTGATGATAATACTGACAGTAACGGAATGATGATAATAATGATGATAATAATAATAATAATGATGACAATAATTATTATGATGATAATAATGATAGTAATGAGAATGATTATAATGATAATAATAATAATGATGATGATAATGATAGTAAGAGAATGATAATGATAATAATATAATGATGATGATAATATAATGATGATGATAATAATGAAATGATAATGATTGACTACTACTAATAATAATGATAATAATAATGATAATGATAACAATGATAATAATAATGATAATAACAATAATGATGATAATGATAATAACAATGACAATGATAATAATAATGATGATAATTAATGATAATAATAATGATAGTAAACAATGGCAATAATAATAATAATAATAATGACGATGATATGATGATAACAATAATGATAATAATAATAATAATAATAATAATAATGATAATAACAATAATAATAAAAATAATGATATTAATGATAATAATAATAATAATAACAATAATAGTAATATAGATAACAAAATAATAAAAAACGATAATTATAATGATAATAATAATGATAATAATGATGATGATAATTATAATAATGATAATGATTATGATAATAGTGATGATAACAATAATGATAATGATAGTAATAAAAATAATAATGATAACAATAACAATAATGATAATAGTAATAATGAAAAGGCTAAAAAATGATAATGATGACGATAAAGATAACAATGATAAAAATAATAATTATGATAATAATGATGGTAGTAATAATGATAATTAAAATATTGATCATAATAATGTAACAAACTTCAGCAATACTACTACTAGTACTACGAGCGATAATAAAAATGATGACGACGACGATAACACTAACGATGCTGACGCTTTCAAAGGCCGCCGAAGCACAGTGCCTCCAAGGATGACGTTGCATGCCCTGCTTGTGGGCAGTCGTAGGCTGTCGGTGGTTGAGCTAGTGCATGGTAGGGACCCCTCAGTAGCGCGGGTGCATGTGCATGGTTTCAGGCTGCCCAGAAAGACCAACGCCCCCGCGAGGACGAAGTCGCGGCCACAGGCGACGGCGGCGAAGCTTCCGGGACTTCGGCGAGAGGCAAGGAGAGTCCTGAGGCCGGGCAGAAGCCGTCGGCAGCCCCGGCGAGAGGCGCGGGCGGCGTGGCGGCCGCGCCGAAGAAGCGACCCGCCGCAAAGTCCAAATGGTATTTCGAAGGCCCCGAGGCGAGCGACCCGCCGAAGGTCCCCAGCAGAACCGCAGCAGGCGCCGAACCGAGACGCCCGCCGTCCAAGTCGTCGTCGGCGTCGTCCACGCCGTCGCCCGGAGCCAAGAGGGCGAGCAAACCCGTGGTCGGGCGCCCGAGGTCTCACGAGATCGCGAAGACGGCGTCGCTGAAGGGACGGCAGGACGCGAGGAGGTCGCTGGACCTGCTGGCGGGGGAGAGCCACACGAAGCCCCGACGGCCTCCGCCTCCGGTGCCCCAGAGCGACGACGAGGACGAAGGAGAGGAAGAGGAAGAGAAAGAACAAAAACGAGAAAACGAGGAGGCAAGACCTCCGCCTATCCCTCCTCTGCCCTCCTTCCTCCGCAACCTTAGAATGCCTCCGAGGTCCTCCTCGACCTACTCGCTTTCGTCGTCCAGCTCCTCCGCTTGCTCCTCCCCGTCTCTCTCCCGAGCGGCCCGAGGAGGAGAGGAAACAGAGAAAGATGGAAGGGACCGAAATAGAGAGAAAGCTGAAGAAGCTGCTGCCCTCCTTCGACGACAAGGACATGAGCGACGAGGAGGCGGTCCTCCCGCAGCCGCACGAGCTCGAGGGCAAGGACGTGAGCGCCCTGATGCGCTTCGTGGGGGCCAGCTGCGAGGGGAGCGGCGCGTTCCCGAACCTCGTCTACGAGTACAGCGAGCTCCCGAACGGGCCGCCGCCGTCGCCGCCCGCGCGCTCCGACAGCATGGCCGACTCGGGGCCCGCGTCCTCGAGCCCCTCGCCTCCGACGTCGGGCTCGCCTCCCTCTGCGAGCCCCGGGGAGGGCGGCGGGGGAGGAGCCAAGCCCAAGGGAGCCGCGCAGCCTCCGCAGCCGACGCGGAGGAGGACCGTGAAGGGAAAGCAAGCCGAGAGGAAAGACGAAGGCGCTGCCGCAGACGGTGGGGGGCGGGGCGAGGCCGCGGACAAGGTAACGTATGCGATCCTTTTGTTCTGAGAAGGCGGAGGCCTACGGGGGGGGGGGAGGAGGAGGAGGAGGAGGAGGAGGAGGAGGAGGAGGAGGAGGAGGAGAGGAGGAGGAGGAGGAGGAGGAAGAAGAAGAAAAGAAGGAGGAGGAAGAAGGGAAGGAGAAGAAGAAGAAGAGAAGAAGAAGAAGAAGAAGCGAAGAAGAGAAGAGAGAGAAGAAGAGAAGGAGAAGGAGAAGGAAGGAAGAAGAAGAAGAAGAGAGAAGAAGAGAAGAAGAAGAAAAGAAGAAGAAGAAGAAGAAGAAGAAGAAGAAGAAGAGAGAGAAGAAGAAGAAGAAGAAGAAGAAGAAAAAAGAAGAAAGAAGAAGAAGAAGAAGAAAAAGGAAGAAGAAGAAGAAGAAGGAGAAGAGAAGAAGAAGGAGAAGGAGAAGGAAGAAGAAGAAGAAGAAGAAGAGAAGAAGGAGAAGAAGAAGGAGAAGAAGAAGAAGAAGAAGAAGAAAGATGAAGAAGAGAGAAGAAGAAGAAGAAGAAGAAGAAGAAGAAGAAGAAGAAGAAGAAGAAGAAGAAGAAGAAGAAGAAGGAGAGGAGGAGGAGGAAAGGAGGAGGAGGAGAGAAGAAGAAAGAAGGAAGAAGAAGAAGAAGAAGGAGAAAGAAAGAAGAAGGAAGAAGAAGAAGGAAGAAGAAGAAAAAAGAAGAAGAAGGAAGGAGGAGGAGGAAGAGGAAAATAATGAGGTGAGTGATGATAACTATTGTTGAGAAAAAATAAATGAACTGAGATTGGGAATTGAGTGAAGATAAAGATGTAGAAGAAAAAGAAAAAGAAAAGGAAAGTAAGGGGAGTGAAAATGAGAATAGAAAAGAAAATTTCACAAGAAAATCAAATAGGGAGAGAGAGAGAGAGAGAGAGAGAGAGAAAGAGAGAAGAGAGAGAGAGAGAGAGAGAGAGAGAAGAGGAGAGAAGAGAGAGAGAGAGAGAGAGAGAGAGAGAGAGAGAGAGAAGAGAGAGAGAGAGAGAGAGAGAGAGAGAGAGAGAGAGAGAGAGAGAGAGAGAATAAAAACAGGACATTTAGCTTTCACAAAACCAGAATCAGCTTTCGTCATCATCTGTCATTTTCTCTCCTCTCTTTCATTCTGTCTGTTCTCTGTCTTCTCTCTTTCCCTGTTTCTCTCTCTCTCTCACTCTGTCTGTCTGTCTCTTTCCCTGTTTTCTCTCTCTCTCATTCTGTTTGCCTGTCTCTTTCTGTTTTCTCTCTCTCTCACTCTGTTTGTCTTTCACTCTCTCTCTCTTCCTGTTTCTCTCTCTCTCACTCTGTTTGTCTGTCTGTCTTTTTTCTCTCTTTCCCTGT